AGGTTCAGTTCTCACTCCATGGTGGTATGTTCAGTTTATACTCTTATGATCAAAATTGATCGTCTTGGCCAGTGCCTGGAAATGCCTCTCAATGCTGAAATCTTCATAACCACAAGAGGTTTCTAGTGGATTTTGTTTTTCAGGTATTTATAGGTGATATTTATTTTTGAAAGCTGAATTGAAATGATACTTTGTTCCAAGACTGCTTGCTCTTCCAGTAGGAATTCAGTATTTTGATCATTTGCTAAGCTTAAATTGTACTGCTCTCTTCTCTTTTTAGATAAAACAAGATGAAATTTTCCGCGTTGTCGTAAATGTTCTCTACATATAGGGTACTGCTCTCCATCCTTGCCTAAAAGTTATAAAACTAGACAGGTCAATCTGCAGCTGTAGAGAACGTAGATGCTTCACATCTGCTCCTTAAGCATGTATTTGGACTGTGAGGTGTTGGTGATGGAGACAAAGACCACCAGACCACCTCTGCTAAGTGCGTTTTAATGAAACAGCAGAGATGCATTCAGCACAATATAGGCAAATAGAGAAGGGCTTGTGACAGGTTGTTGTTCCCATGATCCCTGCAAATCTCAGCTAAAACGAACAGGAAATGGCCACGGAGAACGTTTGACAAAGTGCCGTAGTATGCACGTCCTGAGCACTGGTAAGGACCACAGCAGCCTCCCAGTTGTAGTGGAGGAGGGGGCCGCACATCTGTACCACTGCTGCGTTTCTTGCAGAAATGACACCAAATTCATCTCAGAATCACTCACGTGTGTTGCAGTTCATTGTTTTCACTTAATGTGTTGCAAAAAAATAACAGTCAATGCACTGTTGCACTCCTGGTTTGCAAAGCTTGTTGTGAAGACATTGCTGTAATTTTCCACGTTCAGTTTCTATGATTTATCTAGTGGTCTTCCTAAACATACAGGGCCTGATTTCCTAACGTGCTGCTGAGCAATCACAACATCATTTGGAGTATGAAGGACTTGCAGGTAGACAGCAGCGTGATTGAAACCATAGTCCACAAAGTTATTTTATTACGAATCCATTAAGGATTTTGCAGTTTAGTGAGTACCTTTTGATTTTTGAGGAGCTTTATGTGACACACAAAATGTATTATTGCCTAGTCAAAAGTGACAGAAGTGAATAGATAGGAATGGCAATGCAGAGGATGCTTGGGCCACATCTGTCACCCACATCCCAGCATTGCTAGCGTGCAAATTGTAACGGTGGAGCTGTTGGGTGATACCACCTGTCTGAAAACAGGCGTACCATTTAGTTATTCAAGGTGAAAGACTGTGCAACTTAAATCCCTGTGCAACTTGTCCTTATGGACGTGGTATTGTATGGTACATGCTTCCTGCTTTCGATGGGACAGCTTTTATAGGAGGCTTTGCGGCTTGCAGGATATTTTTTTGTTGTGGCTCTTAACACTGTGCCCCAGGCTCCACTAAATAGACAACCTCATTAAAAGAGAAATAGCGATAGTAAAGGAGTGACTTTCTCATGCCATCTAACTCACATATTTGACATGATTGCTGGACCCTCCAAGTACTTAATTGATTGACTTAATTGATTTAGTGGCACTGGAGGCTACAGTGTGGAAATAAAGGGGCAAGATGAGGATAAGGGGTGAAAAAATTTATGATAGGTGCCAAGCAGCCTGGGGGAAATTAGAAATGCTACAGATCTCAGAGGCAGCTAAATCAATTCAATGTGATGTACAGGGAGCAACCTGGGGGAAGAGGAGAAGCCGGGGATAGAACGGAGAAAAGGAGAAAACATCATGGCTAGTGGCAGAGACCGGAGTAAACTTAAGGGGAAGAGGGAAGACAGCAGCCTTGGTGGAGGTGGCTATTTTGGACTTCTTTAACACCAAGAAAAATCTTTCTGGTGTGTGAATAAAATATAATAATGACATCATGTTTAACCTAAAAAGAAGGACTCATGCATCACAGGATTGTCTTAGTTATCCAGTTGGAGACTTCATCTGTGCTTCTATTTAAAATCCTTGACGTTTGCAAGAGTGACTGAAGTCACAGGAGACCTAAAACAATTTGGAGACTATGTACAGTGGATTATTTTAACAACCGAAGCTTAAATGTTAAATTACTTTCTAATCTGTGCAATATTTAATTGACTGTATTGAACCATAATACAAATTAAGTCTTCTCTATAATTTGTTCTGTCGTACTGCAGCCCTCCGAAACAATTTGATACCTCACTTATGAATTGGGAAATGGCTTGTAGCAACACTCAGCAAAGATACAGTAAAAACAGCAAATAGCGTGTGATGGAATCCATCAGCGTGGGCATACGAGGGTGTCATAAACATCCCTGAGTTATGAAATAATTCTTTTATGTGCTTCTGACCCACTAGAGACAGGATTAAGTCATGGTAAAACCTTGAAGATAATAAAAAGAAAAAAAAAAAAAGAGGCTGGGGAGAAAGAGAGGCAGATCAGCTTGTGAATATTAACTGCTGAGCACTGACCAGCAGATCTGCTATAAACAATTTTGTGTGGCTTTTGTTTCATTTCCTTTCAGGACTGTTCATATCAAGTATTGAAGGGGTGGCCACATGCGAGCAGTTACAGGGGGACAAAGATGACATTTCTGTTGGTTGGTCTCATTTTACGGCACAGATTAATCTGTGAGAATGCGCCAGATGCAAATCTAATCAAAACATGCAAAGACCGTGTATTTATAGACAACCTCGATTGTAAGTCCCCACTGGGTGGCTGGATGGGATGAAGGTTCTCCTCGTGCTGTCCCTTCTGCTGTCCTTTACTGTGGTGCACGTCTCGCTGCTGTGAAGGGCTCTGCGGGGTACCAGGCAGGCTGTGTCCTTAAAACAAAGATTTATGGAAAGGATGCAGTTTCTGCGTTTTGTAGTGGTAGATCTCTACTCACTGCAACAGGAGTCTCGTTTCTGCTTTGCAAGAGCAAAGTATCAGGTGCTCGTTAAATAATATTTAGAACAAGATATTGGAATATGTAGAGGGAACCATTGGATCTGGTCCTTTAACAGACCTTTAACACAAGGTCTGTTAAAACACAGATTTGAAGGAGTTTTTATGTCTATATTTGAGTACAGATGTGTGTGTGCAACATTGCGTTTCATGTGTATGTTCCAACTGGGTATCCCTCAAACAAATGGAAAACTCTTGCTGAACACTCCATACAGTAAAATATGTGAAAAGATAGCGTTGCAGTCACCTTTACTTAATTTGTACATCTATTGATACAGTATGTAAAATATCATGACCATTAAAAATGTAATGATTTTCGAACGGTTAATGAGGGTTCCCAAATAAATTGGAGTGTCTCCATCTGCTGTCTTACATTGTGGGTGATACTTTTCCATGGTAGAATGATCTTCAAATTTAATTCCATGGGAAGGAATCTGATTGCAGTTTAATTTCAGTGCAAAACGCTGTCTCACAATCAATAAAGCAATATCAAAGAACTTTGATTTAATAGGAGCCAGAGATAACGTTCCCCGTCATATGCAGAATAGAGAGATGGGAACATTTCATTTCATTGTAACAGATAGCATGCAACTTGGTTTTCAGAAAAACCTAATAAATCAATATCCCTATATTATCTGAGTAAGATCCCATCATTAATTTTAAACACTTAACACATTGTGAGAGTCTGAAGTGCACCTTCAACTTCATCGTATTCAGCCTGAAGTCAAGGGCAGCACTTCCCTTTTCCTATGAGCAGGCGATTTTGATCTTGGGAAGTTAGGAGTCATTTACTGCAAAATGCAAATGAAAAATGTCCGGTCTTTTGTTTTATATGTAGTCATCTGTCTTTTACATGCTGCATCTCTTTTTAAATTTCAATCCATGTTCTACAGAATTCTCATCGCTTGTCACTTGCCCTGCACGCACTCAGCCTTTTTGCTTCTACACACACACATTCTCTCTGGTTTTGACTTTTAAAATGTTGTTGGTTTGTTTTTAAACTCTAAAAATAACTGGTTGTTTAGAGATTGCCTGGGTACCATGCTGATTTT